ATCTCAGTCTCTATTCCCCGACCAGGGATTGAACCTGGACCACAGTAGTGAAAGCACAGGATCCTAACCACTGGGCTACTAGGGACCTCCCTTGAAATAATTTTAGATTTACAGAAGAGTTGCAAAGAGTATGAAATGTTCCTGTATTCCCTTCATCCATCTTCTCCTAATGTTAACATCTTACATGATATAGTCCATTTATCAGAACTAAGAAATTAACATTGGTACAATACCACTAACTAAGCTACAGCCTTTATTCAGGTTCTCCTAATTTTTCCACAATTGACCTTTTTTTTTTTTCTATCCTAGGATTTAATTCTAGATCCCATATTGCATTTAGCCATCATGTTTCCTTAGTTAACTCCTTCAGTCTCTGACAGTTTCTCAGGCAGTCCTTATATTTCATTCCCTTGTCCCACTGAAAAGTAAGCGCCTATGTTTTTAAAGTAATGAATTACATAATTTGAAATCCATACATGTGTGGGCCCATGTGAAGTTTAAATTCTTAACAGTAATGAAATAAAACAGATCTATAATATGATTTCAAAATAAATCAAAGTCAGTTTGAAAAACAATTGAGTAAACTTGTTAATCCCAAAAGTGCAGTTACAGGCCTGGAGCTACTCCTATAGTGTTCTTGATCTAATAAGAGGAAAGTGACGCTTAAGAAACAACCATATTCTGCAGCTCTAGGTGGATAGCGAGGCATATTTCAATTTATTATGACTCTAGGTTTACATCACAGATAGTAGCTCCAGGGTTGATTTCAACACTTTCATGAAAAAGAATAGGTTTTCACAGCATCAGGGATAGAAAACCGAGTTGAGCACATGTGAGAAGTTTTAGGATTGTTCTAAGCTTTGCGAATTCATCTTCAAAATGTCATGAATATTGACTTTTTGTTCGTCGGATTTTGCTTTCAGCTCTTGCATTTTGTTCATGAAAATGTGAGCCATGCCAGTGGGACAAATGCGTTATGATTCAAGCCTATCCCCAAGGGATGACCTTCAAAGTCAACTGCAGATACTGACAGCGTGATTTCTTTTTAAAATGTGTGAATTTCTTTTGAAATTGATTTATAAGATTCTTCACTTTTTAAATGCAATGATTTCGTTGAGTGTGGGGCTGATCTGCTGTGGACAGTGAATGCAGTCTCCAGCTGCTTGAGTCACATGTCCAGTTTTAGTCAGAATGCTCGTATTTCCTTGGTCATGTCAGCAGTGCTTCTGGGTTTTTTTTCCCCCCCTGCAGTCTCAGATTTGCTGTGTTCAGAAGTCTTGCCACATCATAGAAGAACAATCTTGTGAGTCGCTGGGGTGTCTAACAAGTCGAACCACTCAAAACCCTTTCATTTCAAGTGTGCTTGATCTGAGGAAGGGGCTCAGTAAACCTCTTGAACAAGTTTTCACAACCTAGCCTTATGACTGCATTAAAATAAACTTCTGTGCACTGCTCACCTTCTTCCAAGTATTCCTTGAATTTGTGATGGTGAAGGCCGTAACCTGGAGTCATCTTTGTCACCTCCTTCATCACACCATGCAGTGAACCTTATTCAGTCACTCCGCAAGTAGTTATTGAGCGAGAACTATTCTAGGTACTGGGGATGCCGCAGAGAACATCAAGCTTCTTTTCTAGTGGACAGGGCAGGTACAGAAGTAAGTAAAATACATAGTTTAGTAGATGAAGGTGCATTCTGCTATGGAGAAAAGTAAGTTAGGGAAGGGGGATAGGGAGTTGTGTGTGTATTTGCAATTTACAATATGGTGGTCAAGAAAAGCCTCTCTGATGATGTTTGAGCAAAAACCTAAAGGAAGTGAGGGGGCAAGCCACCTTGATTACCTAGGAGAGGAGCGTTCTAGGCAGAGGGAACAGCAAGTACTTAAGTCAGGAGATGGAAGCAGGCCTGAGAGGCTGGAGAGGCTACAAGGCCAGAGTGGTTGGAGTATTGTGTGGAGGGAAGGGAACAGGTCAGAGGTGGTTGGTGCCAGAGCGACTTGGGTCTTGTAGGCCATTATAAAAACTTTGGCTTTTGATCTGAGTGAGGTTGGAAGACATTGCGGGCTTTTGAGCAGATGAATAACGTGATCTGGCTTTCTGAGGAAAAGGGCTTTATCTTATTGAAACTGGTGTTGAGGGGACAAGGATAGAAGCAGAGAGAAATCTATTGCAGTGACTCAGGTGAGAGATAGTGGTGGTAGCTGTGGAGAAGTGAGGACACATGGTCAGATTCTGGACGTGGTTGGAAGGTTGAGACAGCAGCATTTCGTGATGAATGGGGCATATGGCATGAGGAAGAAAGGCCATAATAAGGCTTTTAGTCTGAACGCCTGAGAAGGTGGAATTACTGTTTACAGAGAAGGGGAAGGCTGTTGGTGGAGCAGGTTGTGCAGGAGAATATCAGGAGTTTGGTGACAGATGTGTATTGTAAATGAGACAGTGGAGCCCAAGTGTGGCCAGCCTCTTCATGTGAATATACTTCAGAAATTTGCACACCCCCTCTCTTCACTGCAGGTACTCCATCTATGAAAAATGATTTAAACTTTTTAATATTTAACTCAATTATCTTAGATTCCTTGATGGCAGGTACTTCGTTTCTGTTAGCTGCCTGGGTTAAAAAAAAAATCTCAAATCTCAAGTGGGCTGCACTGTGATAAGCAGGTTGCATTAGACCCGATGGTTCTAGGAGGAATGCAGATGTTTCTCTGCCATCCCATACAGATGAACCTGGAAAATATGAGAAAACAAAAACAGCAAGATTAAAACCTCAACAACAATTTAAAAATAAAATAAACTCATGTTGTGCAAATTCAGGTGCTAAAAACAACAGGGCTGATTGGGAAATAGAGTTGGGACAGAACACTTAAAACTAAGGAATTTTGTAACCAAGTATAGTCCTAAAAGAAGTACAAAGGGAAACAAACAGACAAACAAACAAACAAAAAGCCCAGCACAGTTTACTGGTGTTTGCATCCAGTATCACAGTCAGAAAAATCTTGTAGCCTTCAACCCTGGAGCTTAATGCTCTCTTCTTTGAGAAGTAGGTCTTATAGGATATTTCCTTCTGTCAGAGACCTTTTCATCAGAATTAAATATCTGGTCCAGGACAGAGCCTTCTTAATTAATCCATTGTTTTAATACAGGGAGCAGTGTCTCTGCAGCTTTTTCAGCTGCATTTTGCACCTTTGACAGGTAGCTTAAAAGAAGGAAAGTGTAATGGTGTTTTCGAAGCCACTAAATCAGCCATCATTTAAAAGTAAGTGACTTCTGTAGATTTTTTTTAGCTTTTTTTCCCCTGCTGAAGGTCTTATATTGCTAAAGCTTTCTCTTAATAATCATGAGGAAACTTGAGTCTCACTACTTGGAAACATTAACATGCTGGGGAAAATTGCACGTGAGCCAAAGTGACTTCTCCATTATACTGACATCATTCATCTATTTGCCAGTTGTGTGTGAGGTAATGTGTGTCAAAGAAACACATTTTTTGCAGAACAGACCGTACTACTGACCTAGGATGCCTTATAGCTGACATACACACCAGGACCAAACTCAGACCTACCTCCCTATTGGATAGTCTAGAATTTTTCTGTTTCAAATAGGAAGTTGGTAAGAAAAACCCTAAAATTATCTCAGTGGTATACTCAAAAAACCTGTGAAAGTTCAAAGTCTCCTCCTTTATAAAGCTATTTTAAAGCTAGAAGGTAAAAACTACATCTTTAATAAGATCCACTGCCTTGAACCAACAGCCAATATTATACTTGACAGTGACACACTAGAGGATTTTCTCTTTACTTTGGGAGCACATAAGCAAGCCTTCTATCACTATTACCATTGTTCTAGAAGTTCTGACTGATGCAATAAACCACAAAACAAAAATAAATATAATGATCAGAAAGGAGACAACATACAAAAACCAAGAAAATCAACTGAAAATTATTAATAAGAGCTATATTTGGTAAGTATACAAAAATCAGTAGCTTTCCCAAGTGTCAACAATAACCAGTTGGAAACATATAATGGGAAAAATATCCCATTCACCTTAGTAACAGCCAATACAAAATACTTTGAAATAATCCTAACAAGAAATATGTGTGATCAAAATGAAGAAAACTATAAAACTTTTCTTGAGATTTATAAGATAAAACTTGAACTGGAGGAATATACTTTGTTCCTGGAGGCAAAAAATGGAATATTGACATGATGTCATTTTTTTCCCAATTAATTTATAAAGTTAACATGGTCTGGGTTAAAAATACATATATTTTTAGAGGGGCTTGGCAAAACAGTAAACATAAAGGAGAGACCAATATCAGATAAAAATGCTGTAGGAATCAGTAATGTGTTACAGTTTAGCAGAGTGGCAGTGAGTTTAGGTGTTGGAGGGAAAGTATTTGGATTTTAAGTTTGCAGCTTACCAGACATGTGACCATAGCTCAGTGACTTAATCTCTCCAGGCGTGAGTTTCCTCACCTGTAAAATGTGCAATTAAATGAGATAATGTAATTAAAGAACTGAGCAAATTCTGGTACATGGAAGTACTCAAAAAATGTTAGCTACTATTGTTTTGTTGTTGGCACAAGAGTAAAATAGGTCAATGGAAGAGTGTAAATGTAAGACCATAGTGTAAACAAGAATTTATTATTTGTTAAAGGGGCCATTTTGAATCAATGATTAATTAGCTATGATATTTAGTTAAAAGGTTTTGGATAACTCATACATCAAAGTTAATTTCATGAAACCATAAACAAGTAGAAGAAAACAATATTTATCAAATAATTGAAGTTTAAAAGCAGTGAGAAAAGGTCTAAAGTCAAATTTATTTGGCTATGCAAAAACTTATTTCTCTATAAAAGAAAAACTCAAATTAAATGACAAACTGAGGCACAAGTAGTGGTGTACTGGTTAATGTTTAACAATCAGCTCTGCAAGGGAAGAAAGAAAATGCCCAGATTTGTCACATTTGCTGATTTCCACCGTATAAATACTCCCACCAGGCTACCAACATGAAGTCGGTGAGCAGGAGTTGGGAAGAGATGTGCTTTGCTGGTGCTCGGGAGCTGGTGAATGCCGGCTGCAGCAGACCGTACACAGACATGCCAGAGCGTGCTGAGAAACCACCTGGAGATCAGCCCCAGGCCAGAGCACGTTTCTGCTTGAAGCTGCCTTCCCCAGGAAGCACACAATAGAGACAGTTGGGAATAAACATCCACTGTATTGTACCGTGGAGGGTTTCTTGAGCTGGACTTGCACCAGCACGGGGTGCTGGACCTGCAAAGGATCTCTGGGGTGGAAAGATCCCAGTGGGGTGGTTGGGACCTACTCTAGAAGTAGCCCCTTTGGGGCCAGATCATACAATGGCGGAGGACTAAGGGGAGAGGTGTTACTAGCCAAATGCTTAGCAGAAAAAGAAGAGTTGGAGTAGAGCAGAGGGTTTTTTCCCCTTGATTTCTTCTTCTAAAGCCCGTGATACTCTTGGCAGTGGTGCATGTGTTTTTCTGTCTCTGCATATTTATATTCTCATCTCTGTTTTTTCTTCTCCCTTTGATACTGTTCAATTACTATGACAGTTTTCATAAGTGAAAGCACAAAAGCTTGTGTCTAGACAGTGATAAGGTGACCTAAGTAATATTTATAGTACACCAGCAGGCCACAGATGGGTCTCATTGTGGCCAAGGAGCCATGGTATTGTCGGGATTGGAAGCGGCAAAGTATGGAGCTTTGGAGTCCTATCTCATGTTGGATGGAGGGATTCTCTCAGGGGCTTGCACTTTTATTCCACAATGGATTACTAGCTGGGCATTTTGTAACCCAGTCTTAAATGTACCATCTTAGAATAGGTTGTTTCTTTGTGATCATATCTGTAGTTCTAATAGAAGATTGGTTTATTATAAGGTTGACTTTGTGTAAAGAAGCAGGATTTAACTGGATTTCAGAGAAGTGGATATCTACTGAAGATGGGAGCAGTGTTGTTAGAAGTTGTATAGTTGTTTGAAGCCTGTGATTGAGAATCATTGTTTTGGGCAGTACAGAAAGAACCAATTGACATAGAGATGGGAATAAAGGTGTGGAGAGAGAGGAAAAAAAAGTAGTTACTCTTAAGGTGTTAATAAATAATCTTAAGAGAAAAGTAGCTTTAACAACCACATAGAGGACTGACTGATGGGAAAGATAGTTTGCCAGAACTGGATACAAACCAGTTAAGATATAAATGACGTCTGCCTGAGCTTGAGACTTGGCTTTGGAGGTGGACAAAAATGGTTTCTTATGAGTGGGATATTTTAATGACTCATTGGGCATGGAGATTTACAGATGCTCATGTTTTCAGAGCATTTATTTATTCAAGGTTGGTCCATTAACATTCATTATTCTTGGTTGATTTTTTTTTTTTAAACAGCAAGTTTAGTATCTGTCATTTATAGGGCTATTAATTTGATGATTCAGTGTTCCTCCTCACTTATTTGGCTGTTTCTAGTCTTTGTGTGAGTTTTCTTTAATCACTTTGGGTCTTTAACTGGTTTTCATTAATTCTGCTTCTCCTGGAAACCTTTGCTGATTGTGAAACCATTGTATCTCAGGATTGGAAGGGACTGCAATAGTTTTCTAATCCAACAGTTAATTTAATGCTTGATTCCCCTGTATTGTTCTTTTCCATTTCAGACTTAAATAACTGATATCTTGATTTTGAGTAGCTGGATTTACCTAGAAGTAGGACTTGGGGGCTTCGTGACAGCATAGCATTAATAGACCCAGTAGTCATTTGGAGATAACCAATTGGCCATACTTTCAGGTGGCTGAGGGCCAGCTGGTTATCTGATGATGAAATATTGGCACCATCCAGTGGCTACTACTACAGGGTACTCTGACCTTTAATTTTAAACCCCCGGCTGGGGATGGGAATGTAGCTGGATTTAGGATCCAGACTCTAGGGCCAGGCTAAACCTAGGACTCATGCTCCTAGGGCTTTCTCCATGATTCTGATCTATTCATGCACAGGGAGAGGGTGTTGGTTGGTGGTAGGATAGAACCAGCCTCTTTTCTTTCAAAGTTAGTTGGCTAAGGCCAGTCTGCAGTTCAAGGAGCTGCCTATTTTTAAATTATGCTGAAATGCTGGGAAACATTCTCTAGAAGGATTCTAAATTATAGCTCTTTAATATTTTCTGCTTATAGAATTTGAATGCAGTGTCCTTGGTGTGGTTCAGGTTTTACCAGGCTGAACCTGGAAGCTTGGCCAAGTATTGTTTTTAGAATTCACCAAGCCCTGGGGCTTTGGAGGTTCAGAAACTTGATTTTGCTAGTATGTTAAGAGTAGATCCTTTTGTTAATAGTAGATTCATGTAAACCAAAGTCTTAAGACATGCAGATCGACTCAGGAGGCTAATTTATTAAACTGACATACAAACCAGAAGATTTTTGTCAGCTTAGCTAGTATTAAGGTAAAGCCAAATTATTATTTAAGAAGTATCATATTTATTCCTAATAGAAAAGTAGTGTGGTTATTAAAAAATCCAATCTACATATGGACATGTATCAGTAGAGTCCTTTCTGACCCCACCTCATGAGATAACAATTGTTCACAGCTTAGTCTATATATATTCTTGCAGACTCTCTGCATATACAATAACCTCTATTGCTCCACTGCTTTATTTTCTATAGCTCTGTAGTTATGTTATGCACACTGCTTGTCAACTTGTGGGAAGCCAGAGGACAGTGAGAAGGTTGCCTAACGTCATGGAATCAGATGAAGGGGAGCAGGCTGGATGACTAACGGCACAGCAGCTCAGTATCCTGAATTGTTTATTCAGCATTCTAGAGTCTGCTGCCCTGGTACCCCTTCCCCAAGACAGTTTGGAAGGGCAGTGTCAAAGTGTATCTTTTAGACCGTTATTTCTCAGTGTAACTGGCCAATTACAGATCGTGGCACCTAAGAGGTGCTAAATAAATAGTAGCTGTGTGTGTACCTTCCCTGTCTGGTCCCTTTTTTCTGACAAGTACATTCTTTCTGTAGCTGTGTTTATACCACAGTCTAGTTTTTGCCTTGGTGTGTGTGTTCTTTGGTCTCTTCAAAAGATGACTTTTCTCTCTCTACTTGGTCTATTTTACCTTTTATTTCAGTTTTCTGCAACCTTGTGTCTCTTCTCCCCTTATGCTACCTACAGAGGAATTGAACTATTACATGAAAATCAGCACTTTATCTAGTAATTCTTGTAACTTCTGATTTCTCAGAAAAATGTTTGCTTTCATCAGATTTCATTGTTACCCAGCTCTTTACCTTAGTTAAATTGTTCTGCTTTTATCTTGTCTACCTAATGGAACTGTATTAAAAGTGTTCGTATGGAGTCTATAATGAAATCAGTAGAACTCCATATGTGAGCGGCCAGAATGACCCCCTTTTCACATGATTTTTCTTATAACAACTTTATTGATGTAATTCATATACCATACAATTTACCCATCTAAAGTGTACTATTCAGTGGCTTTGAGTATGTTCACCGAGGTTTGATCATGACTACAGTCAATTTTAGAACATTTTCATCATCCCCCAAAGAAACCCCATAGCCATTAGCAGTCATTCCCCATTTCCCCTTAACTCCCATCCAATCCTAGGCAAACACTAATCTATTTTCTGTTTCTACAGATTTACCTATTCTGGACATTTCATATAAATAGCATTATATAATATGTCCACTTTGGCTTCTTTCACTTATAAAGTTTTCAAGGTTCATCCATGTTGTAGTATTGTATCACTACTTCATTCCTTTTTATCCCAAAATGTATATTCCATGCTATGGATCTACCACGTTGTATGTATCTGTTCATCAGTTGATGGGCATTTGTATGTGCTTTCCTAATAGCAAAGTAGCCTTTTAAGTACTATTACTCTTGAAATCCAAACAAGTGTTATGCAAAATATAGATGGAAGTTACAGAGGCTAGGAGGAAACAACAGTTTGTTTCCACCTGTTAAACACCACTGCAGGTGTTTTCTTCAAATATCAACGTAATATTTGGACATTTGGAAATTATTTTTGAAATCAAAATACAAAATATGTTAATAATATCTTATTCTTGGTTATGTCCTATAATTTTCCTGTAAGAAGAAATATTAACCATGCAAAACATCAGTTTAGATAAAATAAGCCACAGAATTTACTATAGTATTTTTGCTGTGCATTTGACCCTTGAACGACATGGGTTTGAACTGTGTGGATCCACTTATTTGCAGATTTTTTTCAACAGTAAATACCACAGTTCTACATGATCCGCGGGTGGTTGAATTCTCAGATACAGAACCTCGGATAGGGATCCACATAACCTCAAATATGGATCCACGTAACCACAGATATGGGGGGGGGCTGACTATAAAGTTATATGCAGATTTTTGACTACATGGGGATGGGTGTCCCTAACCTTTGCATTGTTCAAGGGTCAACAATAATTCTTATGCCTCTCATTTTCCTCTTTTTCCTCCTCCCTTCCCATACCCATCTATCCACAGTGTCCATACAGGATATATATTTTTTTAATTTTTAAAAATCTTTAATTTTTTTTATTAACATGTAATTTACAATGTTGTCTTAATTTCTGCTGTACAGCAAAGTGACTCAGTTATACATATACGTATTCTTTTTTATATTCTTTTCCATTATGGTTTATCACAGGATACTGAATATGGTTCCCTGTGCTATACAGTAGGACTTTGTTGTTTATCCATTCTATAAGTAATAGTTTGCATCTGCTAATACCAAACTCCCAGTCCATTCCACCCCTCCCCACCCTTGGCAACCACAAATCTGTTCCTTATGTCCACACAAGATATGTTAACCATAGTAATAAGCAAGGCCAAGTGGGGTCATCATGGGCCTTAGGGCCCAGCTACCTGCTTCACATCCCTGCTTTTTTAGTGCTTATTGGCTGTATGACTTGGGCAATTTACTTAACACCTCTTTGTCTAGTTTCATCATCAGAAAACTGGGAATAATATAATAGGATCGACCTTACTGGCTTGTGAAAATTAAATGAGTTAATGTGGGTAAAGTGTCTGGCACATGGCTTATGCTCACTGATACTAGCTATAGTCTGCATTTAGTGTTACAGTCAGTAAGTACTCCAGATGAAACAGATTATTTTGGTAATCTTCTTAAGGTTGATCCATGACCTTTTTCTACCTTCAATAAACATACATTTTTGTCTGTCATTTCAGCAACCCTCACATGTGAACTCAAATGAATTGTTTATTTAGAGAAGGGAGGAGAGACAAGGTAAAACCTATAGATGAGGAAGGTAAATTAGCAAGAGGAGAATAGTGGAAAGGTGAAAGTAAACTAATGGTCTCTCGGAGTCCCAGCCTAGTTCTTCTCAGGTGGAACAATTATTTATTGAATGAATGGACTTTTTAAAATAATTTGGTTAACTGTGGTTTTAGGATTGATGTTTTCTTCAACTCCCTTTAAAAATTTATGATATAAGAAGTCATTTCAGTCGCTCTTATTGTGTTATCATTTGAAAGTTACTATTTGTTTCTTATGTTTACCTCGATTATCTATAAAAAACTGTGCACTCAATTTCTCCTGGTTGTATTTCCTTTACAACTCATTTTTCACTTTCCAAGCACACATTTTAGAATGTATACAATATGGGAGCAGTTTTAAAATGTTTGAGATGATTGTTTGCGAGAATTCACTTTTTAAGATGCTTCCGAGGGAGATTTTTCTCATAGCCCTTTGGGAAAGGATGTTAACAATGGTTTAGGACCTGGTCTAGCCAGCAGCTTTACTTTTTAATTTTTTTTAATTTTATTTATTTATTTTTATTTTAACATCTTTATTGGAGTATAATTGCTTTACAATGGTATGTTAGTTTCAGCTTCACAACAAAATGAATCAGTTATATATATATACATATGTTCCCATATCTCTTCCTGTTTGCGCCTCCCTCCCTCCCACCCTCCCTATCCCACGCCTCCAGACGGTCACAAAGCACCGAGCTGATCTCCCTGAGCTATGTGGCTGCTTCCCACTAGCTATCTACCTTACGTTTGGTAATGAATATATGTCCATGCCTCTCTCTCGCTTTCTCACAGTTTACCCTTCCGCCTCCCCATATCCTCAAGTCCATTCTCTAGTAAGTCTGTATCTTTATTCCTGTTTCACCCCTAGGTTCTTCATGACATTTTTTTTCTTAAATTCCATATATATGTGTTAGCATACGGTATTTGTCTCTCTCTTTCTGACTTACTTCACTCTGTATGACTGACTCTAGGTCTATCCATCTCATTACAAATAGCTCAATTTCGTTTCTTTTTATGGCTGAGTAATATTCCATTGTATATATGTGCCACATCTTCTTTATCCATTCATCCAATGATGGACACTTAGGTTGTTTCCTGGCTATTGTAAATAGAGCTGCAATGAACATTTTGGTACATGA